GTAATTAGAAAATATGGCCTTCGTTATAGAAATGAAGCTAGACATTGCATGATAGAATTTTGCAAGACCAATGATTTGTTCATTGCAAATACCTTTTCTAAACTACATAAAACATGACTATACACATGGAATATACAGATATCAAACTGACTATATCTGTGGAAAGAGATGGTGAAAAGCTCCAAATCATCAGCCAAAATAAGGCCAAGGACAGACTGTGGAATGGACCATCAATTGCTCATATGCTGAAGAAAATTAAAACACGCCCACAACAAGTCCACGAGAGTCAAAAGATGACCCTGAATATATCCCACCTGAATTTAGAAATCATCTGAGGAACAGATTTGATACATTAGACACTAAAGACTGAAGACCAGAACAGTTGTAGGATGATATCAAGTACATATACAGGAAGAAAGCAAAAGGCCATTAAGAAGACAAGAAAGACATTAAAGACCAAAATGGATGTCAGAAGAGACTCTGAAACTTGCTCTCTATTGCAGCAATGCTAAAGCAAATGGAAACAGTGAGGAGGTACAAGGGCTGAACAGAAAATTTCAAAGGACAGCTTGAGACTACAAAGAGAAACATTCTAACGAAATGTGCAAAGACCTGGAGATAGAAAACCAAAATAGAAGAACACGCTCAGCATTTCTCAAATTGAGGGAATGGAAGAAAAAAAATTCAAGCTTGACTTTTGTTATTGAAGGATTCTTTTGGCAAATTATTGAATGATACAGAAAACATCAAAAGATGATGGAAAAAATAGAGTCACTGTACCAAAAAGAAATGGTTGAGGGCTGAGGGCCAGAGACCCGGGGATGAGCGGTTGAGGGCCAGAGACCCCAGTGGCTTGTGAGGCCGCCCTGGGTGGCAGCGTCAAGAAGAGACCCAGGCAGCGTCAAGAAGAGGGATTCCTTGGGGGCCGCAGGCTCGCCAGCACACCTCATTATTAAGGATCTTGGAAAAATTCATTCAAGGCTTTTAGATCACAGACCAGTTATTCAAGGTGAAACCCGTTATTCTGTCAAAGAATTTGAAGAAAAAGGTAGCCTTTGGGAAATGTGAGTTCTTGAAAATTTGAAGAAAATGATCCACGAGACAGATGAACATTATTCTTCCCAAATGTAGAGCGGCAGTGCATAGCAACTTAGACCCGGTTCTCCAGAGATTGCAAGCAACTAATCACTCAGTGTGTAGACTTCAACAGAGGGAACAAGAACAAAAAAAGATTCACACTGAGCGCTTATTGGCTAGTGAAGGCCAGCATGTGACCCAGTGGGAGGAGTCCATGAGAGACCAGCATGACATGCGGGCCAAAGTGGATGAGGAGGAGCACAGAAGAGCCATGGAGCGACTGAAAGGACAATATGCTGAGATGGAGAAGAACCTAGTGAGATTTTCTACCTGTTAACCTCAACAATGATAAACTAATGGGAAAACACTGACTACCCTAACCCCCAAATATTCCCACCAAACCATTTAGTTTCTGTGCATGCATCGCAATATATTTAATGACTCTTACGTCAGAAGAAAGAAACAGCTGCAGGAATCCCATTTAATGTTTAATAAAAGAAGAGTGCTGTATCTTTTCAGTTTCAAGTACCTACATGTGATTAGTTGAACAGGAGTAAGTGTAGGAAAGAATAAATTTATTCTTTGAAAGTCAGAACTGTTCTTCTCTTCCATTGATTAGATTAAAGAATTAGAAGTAAAGACTTCTTAGATAGAAAAATAGTTTAACTGGTTCGTACACAGGATTAATATTAGTTTATTATTGTGGCTTACAAGGTAGGTATAAATAACAGATGTCAGACATTGCTTCACTCACAGGTTATAGAAAAAAATGTATAAAGTGTTATTCCATGAATATGTAGACAAAAGCAGCTGACGCTGAAATAGAGAGCATATTTACAGGCAAAACTTTGACTCAACTATGACAAAATGGCCATGTTGATCTTTGAAGTGCAATGTTCGAAAATGTTGCAAATTGTGCATAAAAGTATAATGCCACTGGTCTCATTGAATGACAAGAAAACACATTTGCTTAATTTCCAGCACCTCACATATCCACCTTTCAAATATGCTTAGAAGGAAAAGGCTACCAGAAACATATTTTGACTTTTAGCCTTACCAAGCACCATAACATTGCCCAGAATATTTACCTCATTTTTGTGTCTGTTTGTGGGTAAACATTATAAATTAAATGTCTATGTTTCAGCTGTTTAATGAGTAATCAACACAATCTGCCCAGGGTCCCTCTGGAACCATATAAAGATTTTGTCTCTGAATGAATCAGAAGTATTTGCTCACATGGCAAATGATCCATGTTAAATGTAAATCCTTTTTAGTGTTAATGTCTGGTCTCATAAGCAGGTGTATTATGGTGAAATGTGCTAGTTCCATCATCAACGGAATTTTAAAAAAAATCTACATTTAGCAATCTAATTGAAGAACTAAGTTAAGTTTAAACATTTTTTTTTGCCAAATATTTAATTTGTAAAATTAAATGTAGTAACTTCAAGAGATTTATGGCAGATGAATTTGAGGTATGAATACATCTTTCAAATACGTTTTATTGTTCTGCAGTTAGAGGCAAGAAAGAATGCACCCAACTTTCTTGTGTTACAATGCTTGCTTGTGTGAATGTATGGCTGACTGTCAAAGCTTCATTCCTGGTTGCATGTTGAAAATGTGATTAAAGTTAGTTAATAGAGAAGATAAAAAAAAAAAAGAAAGAAAGAAAGAAATGGTCAATGTTTAACCATTTCAAGAGGTAGCATATGAGCAAGAGCCAACGATACTGAAGAAAAAAGTCCAGGGTGCACTGAAGGCATTGGCAAAGAACAAGGGGCCAGGAACTGAATAAAATTGAAATTTTCAACAAACTGATGCTGCACAGGAGGTACTCACTCATCTATGTCAAGGAATTTGGAAGACAGCTATCTGGTCAACTGACTAGAAGAGATCCATATTTGTGCCCATTCCAAAGAGAGATGACCCAACGGAATGAAGAAATCATCGGACGATATCATTGATATCCCATGCAAGTAAAGTTTTCCTCAAGGTAATACAAAAACGGTTGCAAGCATACATTGACAGAGAACGTCCAGAGATTCAAACCAGTTTCAGAAGACGGTGTGGAACGAGGGTTATCATTGCTTATGTCAGATTGAACTTGGCTGAAAGTAGAGAATCCCAGAAAGATGTTTACCTGTGCCTTATTGACTACACAAAGGTTTTCAACTGTGTGGATCATGACAACTTACAGACAATATTGTGAAGTACGAGTATTCAGGAACACTTAATTGTGCTCATGAGGCACCGGTATATAGACCAAGAAGCAGTTGTTTGAACAAAACAAAAGAATACTGAATGATTTAAAATTAGGAAAGGTGTGCACCAGGGTTGCATTCTTTAACCATACTTATTCAATCTGCATGCTGAGCAAATAATTTGAGAAACTGAATAATATGAAGAAAAATGTGGCATTAGGATTGGAGGAAGACTCATTAACAACCTACAATATGCAGTAATACCACCTTGCTTGTTGAAAGAGAAGAGGACTTAAAATACTTACTGATGAAGATCAGAGACTATATAGCCTTTGGTATGGGTTGCATCGCAATGTAAAGAAAACAAAAATTCTCACCACTGAATAACATCAATAAAAATGCAAAAAGATAGACTTTTCAAAGACTTCATTTTGCTTAGATCAACCATCAACACTCATGGAAGCAGCAGTCAGGAAATCAAACGACATATTGCATCAGGCAAATCTGCTGCACGGCACCTTTTTAAAGTGCTACAGAGCAACAATGTCAGTTTGAGGACTGAGGTGCTCCTGACCCAAGTCATAGTATTTTTCAATAACCTCATATGCATGTTAAAGTTGGAGAAGACGGTATTTGAGTTATGGTGTTGTAGGAGAATACTGAAAGTGCCACGGACTGTCAAAAGAACAAAGAGATCTGTGCTGGAAGATGTACAGCAAAAGTGCTCCTTGGAAACCAGATGGTCAAACTTCGTCTCTTACACTTTGGACATGTTATCAGGAGGGACCAGTCACTGGAGAAGGACAACATGTTTGGTAAAGTGGAGAGTCAGAGAAAAAGAGGAAGACCCCAACAAGATGGATTGGCACAGTGGCGCCAGCAATGGGCTCAGGCGTAGCAGCGATTGTGAGGACTGGGCAGTGTTTCATTCGGTTGTGCACAGGGTTAATATAAGTAGGTTCCAAGTCGATGGCAGCCAACAACAACAACAATTCAGAGAATGGAGTCCTGGTGCAGTGCTGTGGCTTAATGTGCTGGACTGCAAGGTCAGCAGTTCAAGCTCACCAGTGTCTTCTCAGATAGTATTTTAATTGAAAAATGTAAATTAGTAAAGTAGAAAGAGATATTAGGTATCTTAGGTTTTTCATTTATCTCTTTTACATTACCAAGGGTTAGATAATAATTCAAAAGAATCCCTACTGACTTCAAAAGTCATATACACATAAGTATTATTCAATGGTCTTAAATATATTTCAAAAGGTAAAACTGACATATTGAACGCTGAGCTTATTTAACAAAAGCACCAGTAAGCCATATTCTCCTTCGACTGATAAAACACAACAAAAATTTCTACAAAAGACGGAAAATTGAATAAATTGCTCCATCTGTACTTCAAGAACAATTTGAGTTAAAGTCTTGATCTGAATTACCTTATTAAAAAGAAACAAGTTTCAATTACAAGGATAATAGCATTATATTCCTATCAGACAAGAAAACCAAAAAAAAAAAAAAAAAAAACTACAAGTGTTTCATTTTCAAGTCCCAGCAAGTGTATTAGCTATCATAATACCTGAACTGCCCAACTCCAAGTGTGTCACCTGTAAAGAGACTGTTTCTTGCATCTCTTAGATTTTCCCGAAGTTTCTTGTCTAGTTTCTGAAAAAACAAATTCAAGATTAACTCTTTCAAGAGTAGTCTCAAATAAGTTCATATAGAGTAGTATGTAATATATTTCAAGTTTCAGAAACAAAATTGTAATTTCATTACAAAATAGCAACTCTTAACATCTAAATATTTTAACTTCTTTCCTATTTCAATACTATTACAACTTGGACTTGAAAAGACCAATGCCTTTTCTGCTGTGACTCAAGTCCAATCTTACTAATAAGAAGGGTTCATTGACTAATTTTACTTTGTGGTGGTGGTGGTGATGTGCCGTGGAGATGGAACCAACTCAAAGCGATCCTGTACAGGGTTTCTGAGGCTGTAAATCTTTACAGGAGCAGACAGCTTCATCCTTTTATTTAAGGTCCAGGAAATGCTTTGCAGTACAAACCACTCTCTCTCCAAGCATGACTGTTGTACCATGGAAGATGCAGAAATGGGGAAAATGTCCTCTTCGATGGGTGATGAGACGTGACAAATGGTAGTCGCAAGACTATGATGGCATCTAAGATCAATCCTATCCCCTGTGTATACAGGGGTGAGAGGGATGGGCAACTTAGATACTGGCTACCTGAAATGGGAGTGGCTATAGAGGCACGAAAGGAGCTCTGGTAGCATAGTGGTTATGAATTGGGCTGCGAGCTGCAAGGTCAGCAGTTCGAAACTACCAGCTATTCCGCGGGAGAAAGATTAACCTTTCTGCTCCCGTAAAGATTTATAGTCTCAGAAACCCTATGCAGGGTCGCTATGAGTTGGAACTGACTCCACAGCACATAACAACAACAAATAAAAGCACAAAGTGACTGCTTACAAGTTTTCAAGAGGGAGTTTAGCTTCAAGAGTGTGTGGGACAAAGTAGAGTCTCCACTGAATAGTTTTCATCTTGTCTAGATGGGTCTGGTGAAAGGAGATGGGGATACAATTCTTATGATTCAATAATGAGTAACTGTTATCATGACTAATTGTGACTGTCACAACTGTAAAGGTGTAAGTTTTGTAACAAAAAGAGGGGAGCAGTTAATCTTACAGTCCAGGATCAGAAAATCCTAGGACCATCAAGGGAGAAGAGCATGAGTGGAATGTGGGACCCTAACCAGAGAAGCAGCGACACCAGAGATGAAGGCAGAGATGAGGGCATGAAGAGAGAGAGCAGGTGAGGATTCTAGACTCACGGAAAGAGAAAGGCTGTGTGCTGGCAGTCAGGTCCTGGTGGCCAGGAGGCAGGCTTGCAGAATGT